GCCAAACCCACGACTCTCTCTTTCACTTCATCATCAATGCGCGTGTGTCATTCCAATTATATCTGTCAAAATTAGAATGGAATCTGGAGCAAAAAATAGTAAAGAGATCCTCTCTATGGGAAAAGAATGTAAAACTTGTAGAAATCGCTTACAGTAAAATTTTGTAATATTTTTTCCTATTTATTAAATTTTCTATCGAGATTTGCATATAAATCAGAAAACGAGACAAAGTTTAAAGAAAACGGAATAGCTTACACATCGCTGAACAAGTTTTTCAATAAGTTAGTCTATAAACGATAATAAAAATTACTAGAATGTTTTGCAATCAATGGAAGTCTTGCGATCTATCTTCGGCCATTGTAAGTCGTGCCATATCTAAGCACGATTAAAGATTAAAAGCGAAAATACGCGGACCAGTTTAGATATGACGTTCTAAACCAAACAATTCTCTTTTAAAATGTTTCTACTATTTTTAAAAATTAATATGAGCTAAGCTTCTTCAGTTCTTTTCACAATCTAAGTCTCTTCGTCCAAGGTTCAAGCAATCACAGGTTTCTGAGGGTTTATTTTTTGACCTTATTTAACATATTAATACCTTTTTTGTACTAGAACAATAGGTCAGAATTATCAACATTTGGTACATATTTGCGGCTTTGTAGTTAAACAGACGAGAAAAATTTGTAAAGGGTGCATTTACACATCTGCCGTGGGGGGTCTGGGCCCATTGTCGGGCAATGTCACCCCATCGGCAAATGCAAAGGCAAGGACGTGGGGGTGGTTAATTATTTTATTTATGTAACAGCCCTTTCTTTCAGTTCTATGGTTCATGGAATAAATTAACTATCTCCCGCTCCGACCACAAGGGAACGTACTCAACGTAACGAGACCACAAATAAGGCAAGGTTGCGAAATTGGCCTCCCCCCCGCCAAACTCTTCAAACACAGCTAACTGGACTTTCTCGAAATTTATCTCCTTTTCGTGCGATCTTTATCAGCGGGAGATGGTGCATATTTCGAGTTCAAAACCGTATTTTTTTTACTAATGCAGAAAGTGCTTTCCTAGGGGCTAACTATGAAGTTATATGCTCGAGTTCCATTCCAACATAGGCTATACACTGCCTACAAATTACTCTCTAATATTCATAAATCTTTCGAATTCAATATATTTTATTGAGCCATATCCTCACAGTGCTTCTGAATAATTTGAATTGTACAGGTAGAAATTACCTACGCAGGGATTCCAAACAGGAGAACAGTATTTAAGCATTGAAGTTTGCTTTATGTACTAACCTTGCTTTATGAACCTAAACGGCATGATAAAAAGTAGAGACATCTCTCTGCCAACAAAGGTCCGGTCCGCATGGTCAAAGCAATGGTATTCCCAGTAGTCATGTATGGCTGCGAGAGTTGGACTATAAGGAAGGCCGAGCACCGAAGAATAATGGTGCTGGAGAAGACTCTTGAGAGTACTGGGGCAGGAGTTGTTCGCCCCTGGGCCTAAATACATACTCAAAACCTATGGAAAAGTACACTAATATCTTCCAGGCTGAAATCCATGTAATTGAGAGATGAACTCAGTACACCCTGAACAAAGAGGACAGGAAAAACCATGATCTCAGATAACCAAGAAGCCATCAGAGCAGAAAGCTCATAATTACCTTAAAGGCAGTGCAGTATTCCGAAACTAAATTAAGTATGCTAAAGCCTTTGACTGTGTGGATCACAACAAACTATGGCAGGTCTTTAAAGAAATGGGAGTACCAGACTACTTTATATGTCTCTTGAGAAACCTGTGAAAGGGTTTGGTATGTAACGACAAGGATGTATATTGTCACCTTGCTTATTTAATATATATGCAGAGTACATCATGCGAAATGCTGGCCTGGATGAACACAAACGGGAATTAAGATAGTTGAAATGATCAACAAACCTCAGATATGCAGACGATACTACTCTAATGGCAGAAAGTGAAGAGGGCCTAAAGAGCCTCTTGCTCAGGGTAAAAGAGGAGAGCGCAAAATTGGGCTTGAAGATCAAAATCAAAGAATAAGATCATGGAAACCGGCCCCATCACTCCTTGGCAAATAGAAGGAGAAGTCGTGGAAGTAATGACAGAATTCACGTTCCTGGGATCCCAGATTACCGCAGGCGTTACAGCAGTCATGAAATTAAAAGACGCTCCTTGGGCGGAAAGCGAAGGCGAACCTACACAGCATGATAAAAAGTAGAGACATCTCCTTGCCAACAAAGGTCTGCATGGTCAAAGCAATGGTATTCCCAGTAGTCATGCATGGCTAGAGTTGGACTATAAGGAAGACAGCAGAAGACAGGAGGGCCTAGCGGGACTTGGTCCATAGGGTGACAAAGAGTCGGACTCGACTGTGCGACTGAACAACAAAAATGCAAAATGAATGTACAATACATCCTTTTTTAGGGCCCACAAGAAGGTACAGTAAAGTTCCGAAAGCTAGGCAAAGATTTAAAATTAAAAATATTTTCTTCGAGCACATCCCTGATAACAACCAAGAGCACATTATCTGCATAAGTTGGTCGATAAATCTACAAAACATGCAAAAAAATTTACTCTCTGCTGGGTCCCAGGAGATGTAGGAGTAGAGGGAAACGAATGGGGCGGTTTGGTAAATATATGGGATGCACTGACAAAGCTTGTAAAAATACCCGTAAGATTGTCAAAAATGACGAAGTGGCTCCATCTAAAGAAGATCCTATTCCGTTACCAGAATTAGTTTGTACAAAATCTTATGCTTACTTTGTAGCTCACCCTAGGAATTAATTAAACAGAAACAAACAATCCAAGACCTAGCGAGTTTCGGAAAGAAAGAAGCAAATGCATCTTTTAGGAAGCAGGCAGAACTTCACGATTTTTAACAGGATACTGCGGGCTGAAAGCGCATTTGAAGAAGACTGGAATCCAAGTTCGTACAAGAAGACATACCAAAGCATCAACTACAATCTGAGACGGTTGCCCGTTCGTACACGTTTATGTACAACAAGCAGAAGCAATTGAACCATTGAAACGGGATTAAATTTTTGGGTGAACTCACCGGTGTGGGGTAGGTTCAGAACAGGGGATACAATAGCTCTCTGAGAGCAAAGTATATTAAACAAACGAAATAGTACATCACTAGCGATTTAAAAAAAACATAGTTACCACGTTATGGTTGAGATCAGTAGAGTAACGAGATAAAAAGCCTAGCGTTTTTAAGCTGTAAGTTGAATTAGATATTGGGTTGTCCGGAAAATAATGCAGGATTTTGGTATTAAACAAAAAAAAAGAAACTAGTTACTTTAAAGCAATGTTCTTTAATCAAAATAATTTCNAGGTGGTTCAAGACCATTGGTATATACTTAGAGCATCCTTGTCAGAGTGAATGAGTAGGAAGTCTATAGATACAATATGTACGGAAAATTTTAAGCCATCAGCAAAGAGAAACTGAGTACTTTCGAATGGAAGATCGATCATTGATGATAATTCTTTTCAATTATTTAAGGTTTTGGTTGGGATAAAAAAGTCAGTGTCACAAGCGGGATTCGAACCCACGACCTTCGGCTAAATACGCCGCTGCTCTACCACTTGAGCTATCGTGACTTTGATCCACTCGGACACTAACTTCCCATCTCAACCACAACTTTTCAATTTTCCCTCCTTTTTGCCATTTTTCAAATGTCGTGTAATCTGTTTGATTGTCGAGCTCGAATGGTAGAGCAGCGGCGTATTTAGCCGAAGGTCGTGGGTTCGAATCCCGCTCGTGACATTGGCTTTTTTATTTCAACAATACCTACATAATGACTAATATATAATTTCTTTACGAGGGTTCGCAACAGCAGAGGTCATATAAACCCTCAGTGTGCCGGTGTTTAAAAAAAAAAAACCATTTGTAAGTATGTCGGGTTCGAATGCAGGGCCGTTGGATTCGAACCCGGGAACTTTACCTTACAGTGATGATGCTTATACCGTAGCGGCCACCGACGCCCCCCTCATTTTGCTTTTTACATTTTATTAGGTTTCGTGGTCCGATTGACCAAATAAATTCTTTTCAATTAATTAAGGTTTCATCTCAACCAAAATCTTAATTAATTGAAAAGAATTTATTTGGTCGAAACTTAATAAAATTGATGATAATATTAAATAATAGTGGAGAGAGATGAGCACCTTGGGTCCTCAATGAAACTTTTATTAATAATCGTAAAATGGCAAAATTGTATTGTACTAATTTATTATTCATAATATAATGTTCATTGTACAAAACCGTCTCTACTAAACATTATACCCCTAATAACAAAATTAACAAAATTTCTTTCAGCTCGATGCTGGCTATAATCAGTAACCCAAGCACGATGATGATGATATCTGTACAGGCTCGATTAAAAGTTTTGGACCTTGCAGATACTAGACTTCCTAAATTTGTGACCCTTGAAACAATTAAGCGCAAAGTTGGATGGTTCAAAGAAATCCAACCAATAATAAATGCAACATTGTTTAGGATCTATTAAATTTGTTTAATGAAAATTTAACCCAACTTAATATTGTCCAAGCTATCTATGGAGTTGGCTCGACCTTCTATCGAATAGGATAGTGAAAATAGGAAGCACCCTATTCCATAATTCCATACAACCCTGCTATACCATGTGCACTATGCAAAGTAGAAGTTAAGTGATAGTTAAAAAGAAAGTTATAGACACTACAATAGCACAACATTTTACCTATATACTGCAATAAAAAACTACCAAAATGCAAACATAGAAAGTAAGAGGATTTTTTTTTTTTAATTTTTTCATGGTTGAAATGCAAGCTTAATGTTGTATCAAAATTGTGATTAATCTTAAATATAAACTGCTGGAACGGATAATTTACTGCTTAGTGTCCTGTGAAGGCCAAGGGAGCAATACCGATTTTAAAGTATTTAAAACTTTAGCCCATAATTCCATTTTAAAAAAACTTTTAAAACCGTGCATTAGTAATTAAAATAAAGTCTTACCTCTTGTTCATGTGCTCTCTCTTTGAGCTCTTGAGCAGTGTAGACCCGGCTGCGGCTGAGCTGCAGGTGCTTCTGTTTGTTTTCAGTCTCTTTAATCCATTTCCTCAGCACTCGCAGTTCTTGCTCAACGTCTGAAACAAGGAATGGACATTATAAATAAAAACACAAAGAAAAGTATAGGTTTTTTTTTCTACACTTGTCTTATTGATACACAAAAGAACAATGAAAGTGTATGACTACTCCAAGAACTAGTCGTTTGGGTTCAAACTGAGGGCTTACACGATTTTTATTTGATCTTAATGTTCAACAAGCAAGAATAAACTAAGCAAAACTTAAGTTAATTAAAAATCAGAAAATTAGTTAACAGTAATATTTAAATATATAAGTTTTCTAACTGCAGTAATATTTGTAGCTTCATCTGAATTTTCTGGTTTTGCCTGTCAAAAATATTCCAGACATACCAGTGAGTTGACCAACTACTGAGAATGGCAAAATGCCGAAACATGTTTATCAGACCAAAACAGTGACAGTGTGGGGGCCATGTCGATCAGATTACAAGTTCAACTCACATTTGACATCCTTGCGGTTGACACATCTGACGATTGTACAAAATTATAAAACTGGTGTTTGTTTAAAACGAGCAAATATTCAGATCTTCACTGAAGATGGTGTAAATCTAAATGCATTTCGGTCATGTCTAACAACAGACCAAGAAGAATTGTTTATAAAAATAAATTATTCAATGACTCAAGAGTGTTTTCCCCATTCTACTGACATGTTGATATAATTAAGATTTTTATTGGTTTAAGCATTTTCTTGACATATCTCTATCCTCTTAAAAATTAACAAGTGGATTATTTCTATTTTTACACATTAGTCATCGAATTTTTATCATTTTTGATAATAAAATGATAAAATTAACTAAACAAAGGTGGTTTGAACACAGAAGTGAAATTGATTTAAAAAGAAACTTACCCTAACTAAAAATAACCATTGTTCTGTAGTTATTTTTTAGCAGAAAATATTTTGCTTAATATTTAAAGAAATGCGCATAATTTTTTTTTTTTGTGATACTTATGTTGGTTTCATTTCCATGGTACAATACTGCATGACTCAACAGGATATAAAGTAATCTGCCTGACGTTATCAATCCTGAGTAAATTGGAAATTGAAATGTTTCTACAAGTGTTGGGATTATCACTTCGGCTTTTAGCCATAATTATTTCTGTGTTAATAAACAGTAAAATTCTTTTAGTTTTTATTTGTTTTATTGATGTAATGTTGGTAAGTTTTTTACTTTTGAAAACGACCAAAATATTCTCATCGATGAATTTGCTGGCACCATTTATTTGGTAAAACAGGCAATAAGCCCAAAAGTCAAAACTTTTGACCAACTCCTCAAAAAACAGCTGAGAAATTGTTCGCTTTGTAATCTATATCTAATTTAACCTACCAATGTTTGATTATACATAAATATGGAGGAATTTTATAGCTTTAATGCCATTATTTTACAATATGAGCAAAATGTTTTGGGTTGTACAATTTTTTCTTTACAACAGTATGTACTTATTTTTTATACTACAAATAAATTTGTTGAAATCTAGACATTTTAACTATTTAAAAAAATGAAATTCCAAGAAAAACCAGTGGTGATACTTCTAATAGAGCTTACATGCTACGTGTCACTGCCCAACAAATCAGGGATAGTTTGGGATGCTAGTCTAAAAGGGATGTAATAAAAGGAATTTGAGGATTGTGTGATTTGATATGTGGGAAGGAATGTTTGATGATGATGATTTTAGAATGGCAAATCTGGATGCGATGATAATTGAAATGTTTGGTTGAACCCCCCCCCCCCAAATGTCATATTATATCCAAATGGGTTTACCAAAATAACCTATCGATCATTAATCTGGTGGAAATCGAAATTCAACCAAAAGTAGCTAATCACAAGGCAATGAGAACAACCCCTACAAGTGATTATTATTATTATTATTATTATTATTATTATTATTATTATTATTTTATTTTTTTACAAGGGTTCACGACAGGCACAACGACCCTCTGCTTGGGTATTTCAATTATGAGGTTATATGAACCCCTCAGGATACTGGTTTTTCAAAAGAAGTGATGAGCACCGTGTCAACAACTAAACCGTTGCAGCCACTGACGCCCAACAAGTGCATTAGAAACCCTGCTAAACCTACCTCTACTGGAAATACTTATACAAGGAGGGGCTAGGAAAAGCTCATTCAGTCTCCAAAAATTATCAAACTGAACTAAACAATTTGGGCTGGCCAGAGGAGGATCTGCAAAACCATACATAGGCCCCGAACTTATACTTGGGATAACAAATCCAGAATCCTCCATCGCAGAATGGATCTACATAAAACAAAAGAAGAAGCGGATAAACTTTATTGGCGCTAGACACAGTAAGCTTATGTTAAATCAACCCTCACCAAGACTGTCAAAATCACTGCTGCAATTGGAGAGGGCTAAACTCTGAAGAGTGGTAAGACTATTAACCGATCACTGGCATATGTGTAAACATGTACACAACATGAGCATATACAATGATGATCCCATCTGCAGATTATGTAATGAGGAGGAGGAAACAGCCACCCATATCATCTTCGAATGGGAAGCAACAGCTCAATGGAGATTTAACCTAACATACGACAAAAACTTTGGGAATCAAATTGTAGCAGTGACAGTCAATGACCTGATACTCCTAAGGTGAAGGATTGAGTCTAGAGCACTTAACTAAGGAACTAGGAAGGTGCAATAAGCCAGAAGGCTGCAGTGCCTGGGGAGCACAAACTCAACTTCCTAGTATCCTTATACCATATAACATACCAATGGTATTGACAACTGATGTTTGTAAGTAACACGGGTCTTAACAAAGAACAACAGCTCGGTGGCGAGATATGCCAGATCCCCATCCACAACGAAGCCATCACCTACGACAAGTTGGTCCTGATGATGTAACGTGTGTTGAGGGGAAAGATCAGACAACATCACCATTAAATACAAAGACGAAGATGGTGACTTGATAACTATTTACAAAAGTTCCGACCTCTCCTTCGCCATAAGTATAGCGGGGTTCTCAAGCTAACGCTTTTGGTAAGCAGGGAGGGGAAACAAGAGCAGCCTCTACCTACAAAATCCGGAGCCTACTCCAGACAATCAGAGACAGCATCAACCAGTTTCTGGACAGGGTAGAGCCCAGGAATTGCAAGTCACATTCAACTGCATCACAAGAACATAGCTCTAAAGAATTTTATCCGCTCCAGAGCGATAACAAGTCAGTAGAAGAGAAGAAACAATCCGACTCAGAAAAGACACACAGATATCGAAAGCGAAGGATACAAACAGGCCTTTGGAAGTACAGCAAGCTGAACAAGCACAGAGGCTGCTTATCCTGCAACAACAACAACTTGCTGGAGAACAATCTGCTGGCCAAATGCGACTGCATTGCAGCAGCAGATGCAGTAGCAAAGTTATAGTGTTTGCCAATAGTCTGCTACTGGAATGATGCCAGCCTCTTCATCTTCTTTCAACCAGAATTCACCGTACTTGCAAGGGCAGTTCATCATCCGGCCATAGCGCAGCAAGCGCTCACGGCACGCCACCAGGCAGTGTCCCTTTGTACCGGGACGGCTATTCAGATCCAACAATGGGAGAGGCACCTGATACCTCACAGATGAGGTTCCCCCTGCTGCCTACGGATCCAAACTGCCACAGAATCCATATACCAAGTACCAGTGAGAAGTTGGTCTATGTGGGTCTCAACAGAGATATGGATAAAAACCACAGACATCGTGATAATATGGAAAAGTTCACATCTGTTTTAATGAGCGCTACCCCGAATCATTGTTTGAAGAAAATTATTCCTTAAGCAGCATAGATATTGAATCCATAGTCAAGTCGCCCATGACGAATGGCATCAAATTTTGGGTCTATGCCAATGACAGTAGCAGTTAAATTATTAAAATGTTCTGTGAAACTGAAATATGGTAATGATCACAGGTGAAGTAAGAAGATTTCACTAAGTTACATGTTGATATCTTCATGTTTAATCAGAGAAATCTTTTTTTTTCTTCCTTTTTTAGTCATTGGTGAACACTTTTCTCCCTTTATTTCACTATAACCTGAAAGATCTATTGTTATTGTTGACCTTTCTTTATTTCCAAACATTGGTAGTGTGCTTGGTAGTGCACTTTTCAACGTTTGGAAAGAATGGTTTTTGGTAGTTTAGCGCTTCCCAGTGTTCCTCTTCGCTTATTTCTTTAAGTGTCACTATCACCTTTTCAGAGGTCGTACTGTTAAACGAACTACTTGAACAACATGGAAAAATACAAGATTTGAGGGGAAACCTTTTGAAGGAATAATTGTGAGATTTCTGTAAATGTTGGGGTGATGAATTTTTGAAAGTTTTTTCCTCAAGCGTTTCAACATCTTCATGCTCTTCTTGGAAACTTACAATTCAATTTTGTGATTTTACCCATTATGTGCTGTGATTTGATATGAATATAGAATCTCACATTGCCACCCAGCGGGTACAAATTGAAGAAAATCTTAAACTAGTAAATATTTTTCAATGAAATACTTTTACAAAATGACATAGTTGAGATACTTTTTTTTTCTTTTCTTTTCTTTTTTTTTTGTTTTTACAATGGATACCAGGAACTGGAAGATTTCCCTCCTGAGCACTGCAGCTATACAGCTTATTGTACACAAGTGTGGAATTGAGCCCCCGGTGTGCTGGTGTTCTTCCATCGAAGAAACTCATTTTTGAACGGGGTTGGGACCAAATTCAGGGTAGCTGAGATCTGATACCTCCCGCTCCTTCCATTGATAAGTGCCATGTCAATTTCTTTCAATTGCGGCCACCGGTCCCCTTAGGCGTCAGAAAAAGTCCAGAGGCGATGGTCGGGATTGAATCCACGACCGCGGGATCAACTAGCTGAGAGTCTGACGCCTTAACCACTCAACTACTGCAGCCCCCCTTACTCGATAGATACTCAATTATAACTTCTGATAACCGAAAAAAACCCCTTCTCACTTTTTGGAAATGATAGTTTCTACTCACAAAAGTTTTAGACAGCTATCCGATTTTTGAGTATAATACTCACTTTCAGGCAGAAGAAACACATTTCTACATGAATTGTAGGAGTGGCTATAAATCCACCGCCAATGTGATCAGCAGCAGGTTTTTGTATCTGCTCAATTTTGAATGTGTGAAAAAATGCATATTATAACACAACTAAATATTATCCTAATATGTCATGTAAGAAAAATAATTTTACTTAATTATAATAATATAATTAAATATTAATTAATAATATAATATAATTAAAAATAGTAAAGTAATTCTTACTGTATATTAACTACATAACTGTAACCTACCAATCTAACCTCAAACCATTTCTAAAAGAATCCCTGTTTATAGTTTTGGATCTAGGTTGAGTTAGTATGTATAAGAGGGTGCCTGAAAAACTTAGACTGCATATGAATATAAAGATTTACCTGGACATATGTCTTTACATTCGGCTGAAGACCGTTTCCTCGGAGTAACAGCGGCTACTAGTCTTTCCCATTTTCTATTCAAAATCTGCATGCTCCAAGCGACGACGTCTTTGAGACTAGGGTCCCTGGCTACAAGCCGGCCTCCTTGGTTGTTAAAGAGCTTTCTTTTGTAAGTTTTCCGTTTCATTTCCTCCAAGTGACTCTATAAATAAAACGATTGAAAAAAAACGTCAAGAGGCAACAGTCGGTTTGACATACCAGTCTTAATTTTCTGTCTACGACAGTCTCAGCCTTCGTACAAACAGCCTCCAGAATACGATCTAGCCAACTGTTGATTTCTTCGAACTGAGATGTGAATTCTTCAGGACTCCATTCATGAGTCGGGGAAGCTTCATACTGCAAGTCCTTCTTTGCCTCCTATAAACAAATAGAAATATTTTGTTCTAATCAAAACTGTGTTGATAAAAATGGACAAACATTTCAGTCGAGTACTGAACAAATTTTCAACTCGAGATACAATATGAAAAATCGGCATTTTACCTGACAACTATCGAGAAGATTATTATCCATAATGAGTGACTGATAGTCATTCTTGAGGACGCCCCAAAAATCATCCTTGTTCTCATCCCTGCTTCCCCAAGATCTTCTCCATAGATCAAGTTCAGGGTCTCGCCTAAAATAAACAACATCAATTAATAATTTTTTCAAAGTAGTTTTTTATTTTTATATACTGCAAATAAAATTGTTGGTAGGTACAAACTTAAAGTGATATTTTTCAAATCTGGCCCTAGAAAAAAAAATCTGGTGTTAGGGTGTGAGGTCTGAAACCTCGCTGTCCAAAGGTCAGGACCACTTTAAACTCCTGGGGGATTATTGTAGATATTACAGGAGTTATGCTTAAAACTAAGGGATTTTGATATAATGAAAGAGATTTGTGAAATTGTATATATCGGTGATAGATTTGAGCAAATAAATATCAAACTGCTTCAACCGATTTATTTACTGATGCCATGCATTTCAGGGCCGATCGGGCTTGTTGGATTAATAACAAAAACTCCATTTCTGGCCAAATAGGATGCCTTTCGTCGATATAAAGTCCTCAAAAGTGGATAATTTCTACGAGAGGAACAATGTTTTAGTGAAATTGAGAAGATTTGATACGATGAAGTGTGTACGCTAACTTCTAGTATTTGATTCGGTTAAATCTGTACTTCCATTTTTTGAACTTTTTTTTTTCAAACAGGAGAAATAGTCCTGGAGGGTCACTACTGGGTCTGGGTTAACTTAAAGGATGACGGTATCAGGATTGATAGAATGCTGTGTATATTGAATAGAGAATGAGGACCGAGGATGCTGTTTTGTAGAACACCTGCTTCACATTAAACAGATAGGATTTTACGATGAAGTAATCTCCTTGTATGAACTTCACATAAGTAGATATTAGTAATAAAAAGGAAAAGAAAAAGAAGGCGTGAAGTTTATAAGCTTAGGGGCTAGATGGCTGCAATAGTTAAGGCATTTGCGGGTCCCAAGTTCTATCTCAGCAGCCCTATGTACTTACAAATGGGCTATTTTTCAAAAAACCCTGGCAATCCAGTGTTTAAATTTCTTTGTTTAAATTCCATAGTTTAAATTCTTAATCTTTGACTGTTATTAAATTACAATTTTTATTTATAATCACCTAGGTTTCTTCCGGAGGCTGGAATATGGCCTGTCTTTGAGCGTCGCATGCTCTGGACTCTCTAGGGTCATGCTAGAGGGCTGCAGCGACGACAACGAAAAGCTAGTTTTCATTGATGAGTTCTCGAATCCTGAAATAATTTCAAATTCATCGAACAGATTTGAAAAGCGTTATTTATCAATGTCAACGGCGAAGAAGGTTCATACCTCCTGGCATGATGCTCTCTGGATCCGTCAGAGTGCCATCATCATGGATGATAGTGAGGTGCCGGAGATGTTTGGCCAACCGTGTGCTGATGTCTGCTGAACAGAACCACCTACAGAGCGATGATCTCTTTCCACCGCAGATCCGTCTCTTTTTCCTCCTAGGATTTCTAGAAATATAAATACTTAATTAAATGAATAATATAAACCAAGAATTTTACAAATAATAACGCAACAAAAATATATTCTTTAATTTTTATAGATGAATTTCTGCTAAAATCAATCAATCATGCGTTTCTAAATGGTATTTTAAACGGCGTAGGGTTTCAATACAAAATTATATAATTAAAACAAGAGCCTTCAGAGATCTGAATAGTTAGATATTAACAATGAAACATCACTTGTAAATGAATAATTTAATGCAAATACGATTATTATTCAGCGAAGAAAACAAATGTAGGAAAACAATTATTTCTCCGCATGCCGCTAGGCAACGCCTTGAAGGTAAAATAAATGAATATTATTTGGAAAATGACATCAACTTCTGCGTGCTGAATATAAATCCTTTAATTTTCCTGCTACTATACTTTTTTTTTCTTTTTTTTTGCGAAGCTCCTGGAGGACTATGATGACGTGATAAACCACATTTCGCTGGCGCATAATGTTAGAGATTAAGGGGCAAGGTCTCGAGGCCATCTTCAAGTAGCAAGTTTTTGGAATGAGAATGTGTAGAGACGATTCGAGCAGTAGTGTTAGGGCGGATTGAGAGGTTGGTATGAAACTATTATAATCTGGAACGGACCGGTCATTGATAAAAAGGAATGTTGAGTGTGTTGTGGAATAAGGTTAGTGAAGGCAGTAAGGAGCTTTGATCATTTGCCTGATTTTGATTGAAAGGATTGGATGGCTCGGCAGAACCCAAGTTCCACTCCGTATATCCAAAGTAGTCACAGTAAAGTTATTTTCGGTTTGATTTTGTTTCTAATAGTCACCATAGTTGTCTAAATCTTCTGTTAAGTTGTTGCCTTTTAAGTCTTGTGTGGGGATTCCATGTCAGTCTGCTGTCTAGGTATACTCCTAAGTATTTGATTTTAATGGAAATTGTTACCTCATTGTTACTGACAGTGGATGGCATAACTATTTTTTCAATGTGAATGCTCACTAAGTACATTTTTCTTCATTTAGTCTTGTCCTTCACTGTTTACACCAGTCTTCGGTAATCCAAGGTGTTCTTGGAAGTTGGACAAAGATTAGACATGATTCGAGATAGAAAACAACATTGCGGCATCGTGGGTAGCTCAAAAGTGAAAATGATATAAAGCATTGGACCAGATTAGATTATATAGAAGCCAACTTCATTACAACCTGTGCACCACGAATTGGTGTATTATGCATCTCCATTTTTTAACTAGAGCTCCTTGTTAAACCTGAGGCTTTTTACCAGACCCCAAAGCTTTTTCAAGGCGCATGTGTATAACCTTCAGGCCCTGCCTTTTCCTCTCCATGGATTAGGGATCTGAGCCTGGTGCAAGCGTTGGCACCAACAGAGGAAGTATTCCACTGTTCTTCTTCCTCTTGGCAATATCTGTACAGGGTTGTTTCGGCCACCCCGAGTGCACATATGCCTCCAGAGTCTGCAGTGTCCACTTAGCAGTCAAACTATTATTGAAGCCCTAGCATGTTCTAGTTTTAGTAGTTCTGCCATGGTCCTTTGATAAACTTTTTCACATGCCGCTGTCCCGGGCTACATTCTCATTGTCCAATGGATCCGCGTTTTTGGCAGTTTGGTAAGCCACAAAAGGGCCAATAGGTGTCCTGATTGAATTTTTTCATTGCCCCTCTGCCCTGTGGGCCCTGGCACCAAGACAAGAGTAATGTTATTATTTTCCCCAATTTCTGACAAGGCTAACCAAGAATGCTCCTTTGTGTGACGACGGCTTATATCCGTCTGATTTCCTAGAACTCTTTGCCACACCTCACTCTGAAGCAGCAGATCGGATGTCTTTAAGAGGGAGATTTGTGAGCTTTAGTTATGAGAATCACGATGTTGTAAATTTTTTAAAAAATAATTTCAATTTATCCACACCATAAAGTTTAAAAAAAAAGTTTGAAAGACACGGGAAATATTATATAAAAGTTTAACTTCCTTTAGTGGGCCAATAAACTGCTAACCGTTCATTTTTGAGGAGGTGAAGTTACAAGAACACTCCTATATTGTTAAAAATAATAATTAGCTACAGTTTCACCACTCTAGTTGTGTTTCTATTGGATTTCATTTCACCACCAATATTGGTTTTCGTCCAAAGTACATATATTTAACGTACCATAAAAATTATCTCTCTTACGCACGCGCGCTGTCTATGCGTGCGTCAGTAAGCAAGAACGGGTGTGTATATAAAGTCTCACTTGATAAACCGTAAATTTATATTCCTATATTATTACTAATTAATCTGATTTTTTTAAACGTCGGCTAAATTATGCATAATATAAGTTACTTCGGCGCAAAGGATTAGATATTATTTATTATTATTATTTTATCAACTTGGTAAAGAATTCGCGCTTTAATATAGTTTTATTCTTGTATGAATTTTGTTCGAAATCATTGTCTGAACAAAAAAGAAGGTTTTTAATGTAAATATTTGAATTATTTTGTCTATTCTTACCTGTCGACAGAAAAATCCTAATGTAAGGAACGTGGGTCCGTCTGCGACTGAGCTCAATTTCGTTTATCAGGAGCATAAAGATAAGAACACGTCTTACTCTACACTTTTTTTATATTTTTAAATAAAAGGTTAAAAAAAATTGAATCCCAATGCATCAAACTTTATCAACCGATAGCTTCATTTCAAGAAGAAAACTTGGAAGGAAATCGAAGAAGGCTTAGATTTCGGCCAGGGCCAAATCGGCTCCTTTGTTTATTACCCTTCCTAATTAAAAAGGTGTTAAATAAACTTGAATCTAGGCCAGGCCCTTGCGAAGATTCGGGCTTAAAGCGTAAATGATTTACAACTTTTCTGATGGAAAATGGTGGTGAATTAGGCACATCGAGACGTGCGGAGTTCAATTTGGCCTATAAGGTCAATTAGAAAATCAGAGGATTTAATCTGCTTAAACGCACTTTTCACGTGGGCAAAGTCATTTAATTACGATATTTTGCAACCGATTTTTCCAACTGCTACAGCTTCTTTCAACATTTCAAGTGACAAATGTCGAAATATATGGAATTCCTGAAGTACATTCTTTTCAAATTGAAAGATTAAACATAAGCCAAAGTATCGCATTTTAAATAATTATTCGGAAATCGTGAGATGCGTTCTGGTGTGATGTAGGTTTCAGAAAAACATTTTCTTTATCGTGTCACGTTTCAATCATTATTGAGATCATCTTCAGGGCCTGGGATTTACAAACATTGTTTAAATTTAACAAATACGTATAGGGTGTGGAAAAAAGTGAATTTATACAATTTAAACAATGTTTGTAAATCCCAGGCCCTGAAGATGGTCTCAATAAAGATCGAAACGTTGGCACGATAAAGAAAATATTTTTTTGAAACCTACAATAATTTTACGACTAATTAAAAAATAGTAATAAAATATTACCGCATGAAAGTGGGCCACTTTATATTATTACAATTATTTTAACCCGTGTAACAATCATACTGAATAAATTACGAATTTGTATTTATTTTCTAGAGTAGAGAGTTGTTATTTTAATAAGCATTTGAATGCTTACATAAAATACAATTCAAATTTGAATTAATATTCTAATGTCAAAATTTATGTATACAGTAAAGTGTAAAACGTGTAGTCAATAATAAACAAATTTTGCAGCTTTTTCTATCAAATTGTTCCATTTGTTGTCCCCAAAATTTAACCCTTTTTTTTTATTGGGGGCGTCTTTGGTCGGTACAGTTTGGGCGTGGACACGGCACTCACTGTAAGGTAAAGGTCTCGGGTTCGGTTCCTGCGGCTCTGCAATCGAACTCGGCATACTTGCAAATGGGTTCATATAACTTCGGAGTTGAAATACCCTCATTTAAAAAAAACTTTTTTTTTTATACAAAACATTTAAGTTTATATTGAATTTTATAGGAGTGAGGACCTGCGAAAATTAAATATGTCCAAACTAGATTTCCGTTAAATTTAAATGAACGAATTTAAAGTTAGGCCCAAACCGCGAGTAAATAAATGCAGTTTTGGGGGAGAGAAGCATAGCGAATGCAGAGATTCAGAGATTTCGCCTTGGAGTTTTCGATCTCGAAGACAGGGAAGGTCGCGGTAGGCCTTCCGTTAGGAGGATGACCAAAGCAAAACGTTGATTGAGGAAAATTCACGGAACAGAACACGGGAAATTGTGGAAGAGCTTGTTGGCCACTTTCTGGATAAAGTAAACAAGCTCAGGTGGGTACCGCACGAACTAAGCTCAAAGAATTTTGCACGTCTCTTCTGTTGCCCTTCCAAAATGTTCCATTTCTCGATCGAATCATAACGTGCGATGAGAAATGGATTCGGTACGATATCAGGAGACATGCAGGTCAATGATTTGGACAAGGATGAAGCGCGAAATCACTTAACGAAACAAAATCTGCACCCAAAAAGGTTTGTGGTTGTTACTGCTGGGGTTGTTCACTATAATCTCCCGAATTGTGATGAAACGATCACACAAAAAATTGACAAAATTCACGGGAAACTGGAACGTCTTTGTCCAACATCGGCAAAACGTAAGGGGCCGGTTCTTCACTGTAACGCCAGTCCACATGTCGCAATGACAACCCTGCGGAAACTTAGGGACTTAGGATATGAAACCTTACCGCACCCACTATATTCACCCGACCTCTCCCCTACAGACTTCCAGTTTTTATATTATTTTATAAAAATTAAAAATAGTTTGACTGCTTTTTCAAAACCAGCTTTATTTTTGCACCAGCACAATATGAACTTTCTTTACTTAAAATTAGGTCTTTTTAATTTTAAACTAACCTTTTTTCCCGTCAAATAACCGTTTTGCCCGACAAATTAACCATTTTCCTGCCAAATAACTAACCTTTTTTTTAAATTTTCGATTAAACTGTTCTAACTTCAAATTAAACCTTTTTCGCTTCAACTTAACTGGACAAATTAACCGCAGTAACTTTAATTAACCTTTCAGAAATTTTTAATTTCAAATTGCC